GGCTGCCATGTGGCTATTTTGCCAGGATATACGTTTTATATTATTTTTGTTAATTTTATAATGTTAAACTTTAATAATAACAAATAATTGTTGAGAACTGATTATTGAGAACTGCTTATCAAAGTTTGCATTGTTGTCAGGCCCCCCCCAATGGTGTCTCACTTTACCAATGGTAAAATCTGATCACTTTAGCCTAAGCCCAAGAGTTGGAAGTTGCTGTGAGCTGTGATACCATAGCACTCTACTGAGGGCAACATAGCGAGACTATGTCTCAAGAAAAAAATAAAGATAAAAGACATAAAAAATAGAAAAAAAAGAAACAATTTCTAGTGGACTAATTTTAGTCTAGTGGACTATTTGTCTAGTAAATGTGTCTAGCTTTTAAAATACATTATCTAAAAAAACAAAATAAAACAAAATACATTATCTAAAAATTTTATACAGGCTATTTAACCAGTCGTTTTATGTATGTAGATAAGGAAAGTCCTTTATCAAGACTCACAAATCTGTACTAATAAATTAAGAGAACTAAAGAGTGCTTAAAGTTCTTATCACAATAATTTAATATGTCAACTATACTTATATTTAAACTTCTGCTTTGCCTATTTCTATAGATTAAGATATCCCTACCTCTTCCCTTCATATCATTTAAAAAAAAAACCTGAGTGAAAAAGATATAAACAAACTCAGTTTATATCTATATATATATATATAAGATATATATCAGAATATATCTTATTTAAAAATATTTAGATGGAACAGCAATATGGTTTATCAAGCTATAGTATAAAGTCAGAGCAGCACGGAATCTGGGGAGACTAATTGGCAGCACTCCCTATTAAATGCATGTGTAGTAAGTTAGGGAAGTGATAACAACTGCTGTGCAAAAGTAAACCCTGAATTTAAGCCTCAAGAAGAAAGTCAAGATAAATGCAGTAGGAGAAATTTCTGGATAGAGTTTATAACAGAGAAAGGGATAAGCTTAGATTTAGCAATAGTGTGCAATGTAAAGAACAAACCACAAATGGTTAAATATATGCCTTCCTCACCAAATGTATACTAAAAATTTCTAGAATTATAAATTATTTATTTATTTATTTTTGGGAGACAGTCTCAATTTGTTGCCCCAGCTATAGTGCAGTGGCATCATTGTAGCTCACTGCAATGTTAGACTCCTGGGCTCAAGTGATCTTTTCACCTTGATCTCCCAAAGAGCTAGGAGGATCACTGCACTTAGCCATAAAATTTTTAAAAATCATATTATATATATACATCTACTTATAAATTAGGTTATAATGATACATTATAAACTCTGAGAAAACTCTTTGAGTTTTCTTTCATGATATCAAACTCAGTATATAATATATGGACATTATATATTACTGACATGCTGACATGGAACTTAGTCCAAACATGACTCCCACACTCATTTGCCAAACTTAGGCCCCTACTAAAGAATCTCAATTGTTAGTCCTTTCTTAACAGCACCTTAAGTGGATGGAAAATAATGACAGAAACAAATTTCTTACCGCTGTAAGGGGTCCCTCTGCTTGTGCCTCCATCTGACTCGTGGGTGTTGCTGCAATAAACTGACTGGCCACTCCAGCCTGGAGTTCCAGCTTATCTATATACTGTTCTGAAGCAACAGTGGCAGGGCACTCCGCAGAAAGTTCTAAGACCACACCTGAAATTTCCTTCTTGAAATGATCATTTTCTGCCCAAGGGCCTAATCGAAGCTTTTCACCTTGGGGTGATTCCTCCAGGACTTGAAGCACTTCAGGCTCCTCATCAGAAGGGCTTCCAGTTGTTTTGTGGACTAAAGCCTCATTTGTCCTAAAATCTTGAAGGTCCTGCTCCTTGTCCACAATCACCCATTCTTTGGAATCAATCTCTTGCTTGCAAGAACTCAGGTTAACAGCTATAAAACCATTGCTGCCACCACCATCTGCCTGCTCAGGGGTGTTGGCAGAAGCAGGCTTGGAAGCATCTGGAAGATATTCTTCATCATAGTGCCAGACACGGTCAGTATGGGACACAGCAGGAACACAAGGCTTATGAAGCAGAGCAGGGAGAACAGATTCTTTTCCTGCATTGGAATCTTTCTGCATTTTCTCCAGGCTTAAGAAAATGAAAAAAAGTTACTCAATTGTACTAGGGAAACATTTCTTACATAATATATAAGTCCTATACAAAACTAATATTCACACAAAGACAAGAGAGAAAAACGTAGATAACGTGCAAGGAAAGTTTCACAGGGTTGATAATGTTTTTCTCCACTTGCCATAATCTTGCTTTGGAAGATGGAGTTTGGCTCTTTCCTCAGCATGGCCTTTTTACTTTCCTTTTTTTGTTAGACTAATTTTTTTATAAACTAAGATTTTATTCCTATTAAGCTCTTTTACTCTCAATCTTAGCCACAACTCAAATGTTTAAAACACTATCCCAATCCTAGTCCACTCTTTTGATTATATTAACATGCAGACATGTGCCTATAAAACATAGCTATAAGGCTGAATGATCGCCATGTGTTGAAAAATACACATTATGTGAAAGATTAATTAAAATGAAAGCTAGATTGCAGTAGGCCAGAGTGGCTGAATTATCTTGAGGACACAGAATCTACCATGTTAATTGATTTCATGGTCCTTCTAATATTTCACTGCCTGAAGTAGCCACCAGAGATGTATCTTTGAAGGATCTGACTACTATGGGCACTTAGGTTTTAATACAATTAAAGCCACTTATAATTCATAAATACATTCCAAATTCTCTTTAAAGTTTCATTTCTGTTATCAAAACTTTAGTTATAGAGATAATATGCCTCTAACCATGAATTAGGTCTAAAGTTTCATCCTTCCTTCTCTCAATGTATACGGCAGCCTCTGGAGAGCAAGAATGATAAACTTACTAGTATCTACTTTCCTACATCACCTCTTTTTTTTTTTTTTTTTGCAGTTTTTGGCTGGGGCTGTGTTTGAACCCTCCACCTCCGGTATATGGGCCCAACGGCCTACTCCTTTGAGCCACAGGTGCCGCCTAACATCACCTTCCTCATAAAAGATCTTCACTAAATTGAATTGACCTATCTGTCTCTTGTATATAAATCATTTATTCCCTCCTTCATGTCTTCCCCCTCATCCTTGCCTAATTCCATTTTATCATGCCTTTTCTAATTCTATACTGTTGTTTGGATGAGATCACCTTCCAAAGTCACTACAAATACATTCATTTAACTTAAGAGGTTATCAGTTTCCATTCACAAAGCCAAAGGTCACACTATAGAATTGATAATTATATTAGAAGGCAAGTCCCAGGATAATGATAATTAAAACTACAGATAAAAATGAAAGCTTAATGGAATCAGTGTCAGAAAAATGCAAGAATTTTTTTGAGACAGAGTTTTACTCTGTTGCCCGGGCTAGAGTATAGTGGCCTCATCATACCTCACTGCAACCTCAAACTCCTGGGCTCAAGAAATCCTCCTATCTTAGCCTTCCAAGTATTTGGGACTATAGGCATGTACCATCATACCCAGCTAATTTTTTCCATTTTTAGTAGAGATAGGACTCTTGCTCAGGCTAGCTCAAACGCCTAAGCTCAAGGGATTCTCCCACCCAGGCCTCTCAGAGTGCTAGGATTATAGGCATGACCTACTGTGCCTGGCTAAAAAGTTCTTATCTGAAAGGCTTTATGCAATATATAACAACACGAGTAGTGGTAACTGAAAAGCTTTAAAAAGGAAAAAAACTATTTTTTTATACCAGGTCTCAAGAAATTTGTCAGTATCTGGCTTTGACTCCAGTGTTAGACGTTTTTCCAGCTCAAAGCTGTGAATGGAACGTAACTTTCGCACCAATGGAACATCTCTGTCTGGTTGAGTAATCTCTGAGCGGACACGAATTGGTGAACCAAGGCTTGGAGCATTGAGAATACCATTTGCTTGACCATGACTGTTCTCTTCTTCGGTAGCAGCCTAGACAAATATAAAATAAAATCATGAAAAACATTCCAGGCAATACACATGGGAAGAATCACTAAATTTTTCAAAATAACATAAACAAATGATAACATGTATTTTCAGAAGATTAGGATATTTGGACTAGTTTACTTCATCACATTCTTGTCTATTAACCCTTTGTTAAATGAGTTTTCTTAATTTATATACAGCTTCAGCATTATTTTAGTTTTTTGTATATTTAATAGAAAGATAAATAGTCTAAAAATGTTTAATGACCTTGGCTTTTTTAAATTATATCTGACTGTCTCCATGGGGATAGGGTAGAAGCACAAATATAGTCAATGTATGTTAAAATGTTCCAGTTCTTGGGGAAGATGGTGGGTGTAAATGCTTACATTATTATACTTTGAAATGATACATATAGTATAATCTTTTATACATGATGTAAGATTTTAAAACACAAAAATCATTGCTTAAATTTTTCTCCTAGATGACCAATAAATTGCTAAAGTTACAGTCTCTATTCATGTACTTTTTCATTTATATATTTTTGCTTAGACCTCTACTTCAATCATTTTTTCCATAAGGCATGCTACCAACTCTCACCCCTACTTGTATACATTCCAATTCTTTTTGATGCTCTTGTTTTGCAACAATGTTCTATCTCATACTATATTTGGTTGTGTACACACATTATCTACCCAAACACACTGTAAGCTCCTTAGAAAGGTAAAAGATGTACCTTAAACTATACAGCACCTAGCTTAGTAAGTTGCAAATAAAAAGTGGTCAAATTTTGTTGAATTGATGTGAAGAATGAACAAATCCAGAAGCCAATGTCTTCTCTTCAATATTTAGCTTAATGCTTTATTTAGATTTTTTTCTTTTCTTTTTTTTTTTTTTTTAGAGACAGAGTCTCACTTTATCGCCCTCGGTAGAGTGCTGTGGTGTCGCAGCTCACAGCAACCTCCAACTCATGGGCTGAGGCGATTCTCTTGCCTCAGCCTCCTGAGTAGCTGGGACTACAGGCACCTGCCACAATGCCCAGCTATTTTTTTGTTGCAATTTGGCCGGGGCCAGGTTTGAACCCACCACCCTACTCACTGAGCCACAGATGCCACCCAAGATTTTTTTTTTTTTTGAGATAGAGTCTCAAGCTGTCGTCCTGGGTAGAGTGCCATGGCATCACAGCTCACAGCAACCTCGAACTCTTAAGTCTTAAGCGATTCTCTCATCTCAGCCTCTCAAGTAGCTGAGACTACAGGAGCCTACCACAACACCCGGCTATTTTTTTGGTTGCAGTTGTCATTGTTGTTTAGCAGGCCTGGGCTGGGTTTGAACCTACCTGCCTCGGTGTATGTGGCGAGCACCCTAACCACTGAGCTACAGGCACCAAGCCACCCTTTATTTAGATATTTAAAATGAGTAGAGAGCTTGCAATTATAGCAGTATACATTATAAATTCAAGAAACTGCACATCAGAATAACAACGAATATTAGGCAATTACCACCAGTCATTTAAATTCACTGAAATTAAACAGTGATGATGGGTGAAAGATAGAAAACTAAAATAATCAAGTTCTTCTATGTCAAGTGCTATTTCACTCTTTCATATATACAGGGATATCCATACAGACTGACAACTAAGAATGTCACTAGTAATTTGCTGCTATAAGAACAGCTTGGTCCTAATACCATAAAGATAGCCACAGTTGATACTAGAAAAATCTGACATCAACTCCCCATCTACTTTCTACTACTCATTCCTGATCGCTATTGGCCAGACAGCGTTTATTCAATAGCCAGTTCACATTGTAGCATACCATACCCATGAAGAGAAATGTTTTTACAAATGATTCCCATGACTGAAAGTATACACCTGCTACGGTCTAAATGTTATGTTTCTCCCAAATTCATATGTTGAAATCCATACTCCCTAAATGATAGTATTAGGAGATGGGGCCCTTTGGGAGGTGATTAGGTCATGGAGAAAGAACCCCCATGAACGAGAACAGTACCCTTACAAAAGTGGACCAAGAGAGACTGCTTGCCCCTTCCACCACATGAGGATACATTAGAGAGAAGTCATAAAGCAGCTCTCACTAGATATCAGATCTGCCTAGCCTTCGTTCTTAAGACTTCCCAGTCTTCTGAACTGTGAAAAAGAAATGTCTGTTGTTTATAAGGAACTCATTTTGGGTGTTCTATAGCAACTGAAACAGACTAAGATGATATTTTTAAGCTAACTTTTAAAATTATATAGTAAAGCTGGGCACAGTGGTGCCTGCTTGTAATCCCATCTACTCTGGAGGCTAAGGCAGGAGAACTACTCAAGGCTCTAGTCCATTATAATCATGCCTGTGAATAGCCATTGTACCTGAGCCTACTGAGACCCTGTCTCTTAAAAATAATAGTACAAAAACAATTGGCGGCACCTGTAGCTCAGTAGGGCTCCGGCCACATACACCGAGGCTGGCGGGTTGGAACCCAGCCCAGGCCAACTGCAACAAAAAAACAGCCAGGCATTGTGGCAGGCACCTGTAGTCCCAGCTACTCGGGAGGCTGAGGCAAGAGAATGACTTAAGCCAAAGAGTTGCAGGTTGCTGTGAGCTGTGACACCACAGAACTCTAGCCAGGGTGACAGCTTGAGACTATGTCTCAAAAAAATAAAAAATAAAAAATATATACATATATATATGAAAATAATAATCCAGTTTAACAATTGTCCAAACACAGACTAAGCTGCTCAGAACTGATCATATAAGATCCTTGAAAGGATATATTTCCCATTCATAAAGCATGAAAAGCCAACTTTTTGTCAATCATGTAAATAGGTATGAGCCCAAAGCCTTATTTCACCCCTGGAGGTTTAACCTCCTTCCCAATCAAACCTTTATAAAAACATCTACGTAACACCAAAAATTGACTGATTTATAATTCACTGCTCCTCCAACCTATTATCTTCATCTTATCTTCTATGAAAGGGGAAGTGATAAGAAACAATAAGATCAAGAAAAAGTTTGGGGATAATATGCCCCAAGATAACTAAACTTTAGCTATATAATTCAGAAATCATTCTCTCTCCGCAGTAAGTGTACCTACTTATTCTAATGAAGAAAAAAACATATCATTTATTCAACATCTACTTCATCAGTTTATGATCAGTTTGACGCTTTCCCTTTCAACCCTCTCTTCTCTACCTCTATTCTTTTTTTTTTTTTTTTTTTGAGACAGGAGCCTCAAGCTGTCCCCCTTGGTAGAGTGCCATG